ACAACTTTTAGTTTTTAATTTATTTTAGTAAGTTGTCTTAATTTTTAAACTAATGGACCCTCAAATTTTTGTGGCTTCATACTTGGGATACTCTTTGAAAGCTGGCAGCATTAACAGTTTATATATCGAAAAATATATCGTTATCGATCAATATGGGAAAAAAATTAGCAAGATTACATTTTTGCCATATCGCCCAGCCCTAATAGAGATGCTGTAGAATGACCTCAGAGAGCCGTTCACACCAGATGTCCTATGAAAATGGCTGAAATGAAGTAGTTCTGTAAAGGAGAGTAGTCCAAAATTCCTCCTGAACATTGTGCAGGTCTAATCCACAGCTACAGGAAGCGCTTGCTTGTGGTTATTGCTGCCAAAGGTGGTTCAACCAGTTATTAAAACACTGCTGCCATGACTTTTTCCACCACCACCACTTTGTATGTTCAACAAAGACATGAAAGATCATGACTGAGGGTGTTGTATAAACCTGTTAAAACAGATCTGGTTGTTGCAAGTTGTTCCACTCCTAATCCATGACGTCATAATGCAGGTATATTTGAATTTGCTCTGTTGATGATCTTTACTGCCTCTCTGCTGACACCTAGTGGTATCTCATCATGAAGACACTTTTTGTATTCAGTTTTTTACAAATCTCTGACATTTCTACCTTCATGGGACTAGTTTATAAAATTTGCAATAAAAAAAAAAATCCAACAGTAACTTTCAGAATAAATCCAGGTAACTTCGTGCTAACCAGAAGCCATGGATGACAGGTGAGGTTCAAAGACTCTTGAGGGATCGGGATGCAGCCTTTAGGGCTGAAGACACTGCAGGCCTAGCAACAGCAAGTGCGAAACTGTCCCGTGGAATCAGGGAGGCAAAACACCAATACAGCAAGAAAATATCAGAACACTTCAGCAACACTAGAGATGCGCAGAGTCTCTGGCGGGGCAGCCAAACCCTCACAGGCTATAAACCTCCACCTCAAAATTGTGATGGTGACATCTCTACTGAACAGCCTCAATAACTTCTTTGACCGTGTTTGAAATGAATAAATCAGTCAGATAATTATTAGACAATGTGTTGAATCAAATGTATTAGTAATGGGGAAGAAGACCGTGACCTTTCTACATATTATTGCTAAGGGTTAAAACATACCCACATATATTCTTGTGTTACAGGTCCCAGCTGGGGTGACGTGAGTACAGATTATTGATCCTGTTTAATACAACAAAAGACGAGAGACAAAGATTTGCGGTCTGACGTCTCATTGCGCTCCTGACAGAATGACAAAGTCACCTGTCACATATGGCGTTATATTTGTGCCAATTTCCGGAGTGAGCAATGGGACATTTTGAGCGCGCGCATCTGACATTCTGAGCACGGGATGTTTTTTGAGCGCACACATAAGTAAAATGCTTTTGCTCAACTATTTATGCCCTCTCACAACCTGCATCTCTGCGCTCGCTCGCTCTATGGGCAGAGATAAAACAAAAGTTTGTGCCTCAAAACTAGAAAAAGCCATGTCAGGCAGGATGCAACACTTTAAAGATGACTTAAAAACAGATGCCAAGCCCCACGGCCAGCGAGACGTGGGGAATTAAGAAATAAATAGTCAGCCGGTAAAAGCTCAGAAAACAGGGTGTTATCCCCACGTATCAGCCAGGTTTCCGTAATAAAAAGCATATCCAAATCGTGTGTGGTAACAAGATCATTCAGGATAAAAGTTTTGTTATTGAGAGATCTTGCGTTAAACAGGGCAAACTGAAGCCAGCTAGGCTCAACCTGAGGGCACACAGCGTGGGACACTGGGCGCAGATTGGAGTGGAGACAGCGTCGAGTAGAGCATTTCATCAGACGAAGGTGAGGAGGAGGCGGGTCAACGTCCAGGCCTACTGGTTGAAGAAAGTGGTAACTGAAGAGGATCGACCAACTTCAACCGACGAACAGACGCCAGCAGAGGCAGTGGAGGGTTAAAATGATGACCATGGCAGTAATAAGGGCCGCTGCTCATCGAGTTGCGTATGTTAAACAGTGTCAAACGATCATATATCAAGGTGGAAAATGCAGAGGGAACATCAAAAGCCACGAAAAGACAGGTACACAAAAGGAGTAGACGGTTAGCCACACAGCGGCGCCATCTTGGATTTCATGATTACTCTAAGGATTATGGAGCCCACTGTGCTCTTAGGAACCGTAAGTGCAGCAGAAATTTTTTTTGTAACCTTGGCCAGATCTGTGCCTTGCCACAATTCTGTCTCTGAGCTCTGTCAGGAAACAGCACCCACAAGTGGTCTAAAACAAACACACCAAAAAGAGTCAGTGTCAAAACAATATAATACTAGGCAGGAAAGAAATTAGTGAGTCACTCCTGTGAGACCTGTGATGTTCACATTATCTGTCATAAAGAGAGTGGTTGTGTAGATTTCATGATGTTACACTCTTTGCACAGCGATGTGGTAGTTACCAGGGTTCCATGAAAACTGCTCCATGTTTCTCAGACAGACAATGAGCAGGAGGATGTAGTTGGTAAACCTCTCTTTTATGTCTGTGGGAAACAAACAAATCAAATCTGGATTAACCTACTTTGTACTATTTGCAGCTAAGCTCAAGTCCATAAATATACCTTGTACTAAATGACCAAGTTCACAGGCTAAGGTACAAAATACCCAAAAACTATCAGTAGATTTGCCTGTTTTACACATCATTCACCACTTACCACTGTTTGACATCTGGAAAAGGTTGTTCTTTTCAAATTTCTTGAACATGCTTCCTTTGATCTCCACAAACTGCAAAAAACCAAAGTCTATCATGACCAAACTCAAGCTGCTAAATAAGTGGCTTATGTCTATATGAATCAAACTCACATTATTTGACATCATGATGGTGAGCAGGGACTTGTTGTGGGAGTTGAAAGCTACGTTGAGAGTTGTGAACCACTAAAAAGATAGTACTTGATCTATCATTTGTGAAACTACAGTCGCCATTTTGAGAGCTGATACTTATTTCTTTGTATGATTCAATGAATGAAACTGATTAAATGAATGTTTCCTTATTATTTTAGTCATGCCCAAAGCTTCTAAAACAGCATGTGGCTGCCAGTGGCAGAAACCCTGTGGTCAGTAAGAAGGGACGTCCAGTCATCAGTTCTCATTTTACACGACCTGTCAGCAGTTTTGGTCATGGTGAACCACCAAATCCTCCTGTCCACACTATTTTATTAAGCTATCAGCATTGCTTTGAGTCCTATGGATCTATTTTCATGCTAGCCATTTTAGCTTCAAACATATTCAAAGTGTTTTAATTATCAGATTCAAGATTCAAATGTGACTAACGCCATCTTCAACACAGTTGTCGCCCACAAACTGACCCACAAACTCACCCACAAACTGACCACACTGGGTCTGCACCCCACCCTCTGTGACTGGCTCCTGGACTTTCTGACTGGCAGGCCCCAGACTGTCAGGATTGGCAATAGGACTTCAGCCAGCATTATCATGAACATTGGCACCCCACAGGGATGTGTCCTCAGTCCCATCCT